AAAAAAAAAAAAAAAAAAACACACACTCACAGACACAGACGCACACGCACACGCACGATGCTCATCACTGTCACTTTCTTTCCACACAAGGGGTGCATGGGGGCTGATTTGACAGTGACACGCAGGCGCGTCTCTTCCGCGCGGCATTGGCGCAGAGGGCGCACCGAGGCGGGGGAACAGAAACACAGCGAAACACCTGAGCTGACCGGACCCTTCAGTGACTTTGGTATTCAATTCGGTGCCCTCATGTGCCCTCCACTGACGAGAGGAGGACTTCCCCTCGCCCCGGCTTGGGGACCTCGTGAGCCTACGTAAAACGGGCCGAAGTGCTTCCGCACAAGGAGATTACACGGAGCGCATACGAGTGCGTAACCTTGCCACGCACACCTGCTGCCCACTCAGATGGAGTTAGAGTTTGGCACATACCAAAACCTCAGACAATGCCAGTCTGACACAGTCTGCACTGCGGCGCACGCTATGGGGCGGGGACAAAACAGCTATGACGGCATAGGCTGCGCAGAGCAAGTAGCCTTGCAGCCAGTTGGACCTGAATGCAGAATTTGTTCTGCCGACGGCTTTGGCATCTCTGCGGTGCAGAGTACAAAAAGAGAGCCCGACTGGCCATCCACCACCATGGAAAGGACAACTATGACGCTAAGCGTCATCACCTCATGAAAACTATGGATAGCCCTTCTTTTCGCGAAACCGCGAAGCCCCGCACCGTGACGTTGAGGGCCCCGAAGTTCAAGTCCATCCTACGGCGCTCCGTCAGAGCTGAGAGATGCTGAGAGCTTCCGGCATGGAAGCTGAGGCTGCTGGCGGCTTGTCGATGGCCCATCCCACGAGAACAGAGAAGGGGACTACAAAGAGAGCTATTTGCCTCGCGATTCAAGAGCTCGACAGAGTGCACAATTTCGCTTCCCTTCTCGAGACTCCAGCGTGGAAGATCCAACTGCGATCCCGATCGATAGACCAGGCTTGTCCTAGCACAGGTCTGGACCCGTCGCCTTGAGCTCGCTTGAGTTGGGGCTGGGGTCCGCCCCGTGTCTCCTGCATGGCAAAGCGCACGGCCGCAGCGTGCTCGCATGCATTGCCCACAATGGGCAAGAGAATGATTCCGATGAAGTGCTCACCTGGGGTTTCAATAGGACTGCTGACCGCAGAGCATCCGATGGAATGGCGTGTCTCAGCCGGTCTGAGTGCCGTGCCCATGTGCGCCCGTGCCGTCATGCTCTCAATCGAATCTACCTTAAACCCAAAGCCCAAGGCGACATGCCCTGCCGGCTGTCGTGACTCTCAGGTACCAGCTAGTAGCTCCGAACAGAACGCGACAACTGCTGTCATTGCGAACAGGAGTACCTGCAAGCAAGTTTGTTGTCGGAATGTCGTAACACTGTGGCTTGACTGGTGTGGCGCACGGCTGCTGTGGTCACTGATATTGAACTTTCCTGGGAGTAGGATGGGACGACTGAGCCCCAAAAAGCTGTTCTGCAGCGGCCTACCAATGGCCTACCAATAACAGAAGAATTGCCCGTTGCTGCCTCCTCCTCGTCGTCGCCGTCGCCTCCTTCTGCCATGACCTTCGAACCAACGGCCACGCAAAATGCTCACAGTGCAAATTTGTGTTTGCATGTACGGCACACTCACGGCAGAGCACACGCCCATTAAGGGTGAGTTCGGAGTACGCAGAATCCGTGCCAGCAGCGTTTCCCAGGGTTGCTTGGCTAACTAGCAAGAAATTAGGACTTCACAAAAGAGTCGGCAATAGCATTTCAGACAAGAGTGGGCGACGTGAGAGGTTGTGTTTGTCTGGCTTCATCATCGTGGTTTGCCAGGTCGGTTGCTACCAGTAGGTCTGCAACACTGCCCATACGGCAGTGTTGCCAGGTTTCAGCAAGGCTTCAGCAACCACGATTGCCACTTTCGGGGCAGGGACGGTTCGGTGCGTGAACAGCTGGAAGACGATGTACCTGCCGTAGATTTGAAGCAATGAACTCAGGAAGGTCTCCTGCTGGCAGCTGCGAGTCGCACGCGACGTAGGCAGAGACGATGATTATGGAGCAGGTCCGAGAGATTGGCAGCATCACCTCTTCGAGGTCACTGTGGTTGAACTTGTAATGATCTTCCAGCATCGTGCCGAACACCGTCACCTGAGTCACCCATCTCTCGTCTCGAGAGCACCACCTCCCTCCACCCTTCCCTTTCAGAGTGCGGCCAGGGTGAACGAAAGGCACGACAGCAAGAGCATCGAGGTATTCACCTGGCGAGATGGTGACAGACAGACTTTGTCACCGTGCGCTGTAGAAGCATCGCTCGAAGACCATGGCTCCAAGGATTTTGAAGGTTTGCACCTGCCAGCTCCACATAGTCAGACGAAGTTATCACATCCCTGACAAGAAGGACCTTCTCGGCAACCATGCTGTAACCTCCTGTGGCTTCCTTCTCCAGGGATTCCGCATCCTCTCGCACAAGAGCAAATAATATCTTTGAAGGGAGCCTAGTTATAGTTGCTCACGGTCCTTCACCTTTGCTTGCTCTTCTGTCTTCCCATTGACACCCACCTCAAAGCACCGCTTGGGCACCGAGCATGAGCACAACCCAGTTGGGCGAGAGGCTAAGCCACCGAAGAGGAAGGACATCCCCAGCACCAGCAGCACATTTGACAGAACGGAGCCTGTGGCGCGGGCAACCACGACACAGCCGGGACATGGCGAACTTCGCGAAGCCGTCGCCTAGAAGCGTCGCTTTCACCACCGCATAGAGGCCGCCGCGCAGCGTCTGCACCTAGAGAGACGGCACGACGGCATCTCGCAGCAGGCACACAGCCTTCTCTGGGCATCGGGCCGTGATGACCATCTCCACTGCATTCCCGAAAGTGGCCTTCTGACAACAAGGGAGGGGGCACCTGTGCTCTCGCTCCAATTTCCAAGCTGCAGGCATTGATCAGGCCGGCGAGAAGGTCGTTCCTCAAGCCGGCTGCCAGCTCCTAGCACAGGGAGACACAGGCTTCAAAGAGCTTTTGATAAGTTTTGCTCACCGAGCCTCCGTGATGTCTCCCAAGATTTTGGCCATTGGAAGCATTGCCTGGCCGGCGTCCGGCGAATGCAGGTGCAAGCAGGCACAAGGAGAAACAGGCCGGGGGCTTGCGAAGAAGTTGAGCCAAAACGTGTAGGCGGGATCCCACCTCGGAGGGCGAGGAGGCCGCCCGCACTCTTGGCTCTCTCGCTGCTCTCTGCCCTGTCCCTCTGGGTTCTCCGGGCTTGAAGAAGTAGGACCAGATGCCGAAAGGGACGCAGATCATGAAGATGGAGAGCCTGGCGCTAGCGCTTTTCAAGCGCTTTCAAGCGAAGAGAGGAAGGCTTAGCCAGGTCAGCGGATGCTTGAACAGGGCGATAACCCCCGTTCCTGCAGAGAGCGTGACCCAAGCTGTGAAGGAAGCGCACTTGCGGTTCCCTGAGCCAGTGCCTTCGAAGTTTGGTGGCTTCTTTGCATTGGTACCTTTCACAAACCTGCCATCAGAAGCTTTCGCAAACACCGTCAGTTTTGCAACAAATGCCCGCATGCCTGGTTGTGTTGTGCCTTTCTCCCCCTCTTCTCAGCAAGACCTCCCCTCCATCAGCCATGGCTTCAACGGCTGTCACCGGGTGGGAAGCCAGTAGTACGAGTCGTCTGCGCTGTGTCTTACAGATTGAAAGATCTTGAACGCATGTCGTGCCGGCGGCTTGCTGGTATACTGCATCTGATCAAGAAAGCTTCTTGAAGGAGCTCCAACAGCGAGTGACTCGGCGAGTGCAAGTGCAACGGGGTCGCAGTCGAGGCCAAAATCCAAGTCCACCAACTGACAAACCCCACTTTTCTCCGAGTCAACGATGCCGACTTCGACTGCGACTGCGGCTGCTTCGACCTGACAAAAGCACTTTGATAAAACCTTGAAAGTCTCTTGCCGGTCCTCTTTCAGGGTATCAGCGGCATAGTCTTAATCCAAGATCGCGGCTGCTGGCACTGCGACGCCTGTAGATTCAGCACGAACGCTCAGACAGCTTTCGATTTTGGACGTGGCGCGAATGCCCCGTGCAGCAGCGAAGTCACCCAGGAATGCAAAGACACAAAATCCACGACATGCATTGAAAGGACGCCGTCCGTAGCAGTGGCAGGTGTAGTGAGTGTAGTGGAAGACCCGTGGTCTTGCACAGTGAGCGCTTGAGGCTGGCCGAGGTGGGATCAAAATCCGAACCGAGCCTTACCATCTGGATGACATACTTTCATACGTCAGAGAGCTCGTGGCACAAAGGTATGGTAATCCCGGTCGTGTGCTACACCCAACTAAACCTCATGCTCACAAGGAAATGGGAGTACAAACGGCCGGGAGCACCTGCGCCGTCGCCCGCTGTCACTCGACTCGCATCTCTGCCGCCTTCCAAGGATGCAACACGACAAGGCGTGTAAACGGCATCAAAGGGCCCAACCGCGGCCGAGAAGATCGTGACCTGGATCGAGAGCGACGTCTTCGTCCTGGCGGAAAGGGAAGCTGCCAACTGTACCGTGCATCACAAAATGATCCATGCAGGTGCACACGATGCTGCACGACACTGCCACAGTCAGACTCAACATACCAAAACATGGGACGACATCCGAACTTCCGAACGTGCCCTCCTCGGCTGGTGGATCGTCTACTGCGCCGTGACTTGGACTTCTTCCGCCTGCGAAATGCATCAAAGGACTCCCGAGGACTTCACATGCCCCGGGAATGCAGCAGTCAGCCGCGTGCTTTCCGTCGTCCCGCGCTGTCTCCGCACGTGCCTCAGCGCTCGTCTGAACCGCGGCGCATCGTTCGCATGCGAGCGCTGCGGGCCTCCTCCCTGCTCCGATTGGCCTTGGAGACGCTGAGAGTGCTGCCCTCCGGAGCGCAGAGTGCGGCAGCTGGTGCACAAAAAGCTCCGGCACCTCATACTTCGTGCCATTCATCTCCTTGATTGCCTGCCGTGCGATACAAGAGATGCGCAAGCGCCTTGTGGCCCTGCGGCACAGCTGCACAGCCTCTGTTGCATCCGTGTCGTCCTTGAATCTCACGAAGGCAAACGGCCGAGGTCTTCGGGTTCGCAGTGGCGCAGCACAGAAGTCAACGACGAATCTCCCCCCCCCCCCCCCCCCCCGTCAGAAAACCTCTCGCGTGGAATGAACACATCTCCGATGTCGCCAAATCTAAGCGCATGTGCGCCGCAGGCTCCACATGACAACATGCGAAGACCAAGCCGCGACGCCGCCTAGAGCAGTCTACCGGAGGGCTCGCACCTACTAGTTGTTGAGAATGTTGAAGCCATGCGATGGCCTATGCGATCGCCTTTTGCGCTTTGCAGAGTTCTCTTTGCGACGGGGCCACTTCTCGAAGCACTTGCGGAGCTCTTCAGCGGTCCAGTTCTCGGGGATCTGTCCAGTGACGTCCACCTCTGCAAGGCGAAAATGTGCAGCGCCGCATCCGCAACGGCACAGGCGCATACAGGCGCCACGCGGTGCCTTCAGTGATGTCCTGAGTCGCAGCATGTCGCCACAGTCGCCACATTCCTAAACCCTCTCTCCCGATGTCTCCCCGCTGTGAAGCCGAAGCTCATTCCGGAGATGTCTGGAAGTCCACCTGTTCGCCCAGTTCTCTAACCTCTCCAACTGCCACAGCTGCACGTCGCTTCATGTAACAGCAGCCTCCAGGTGCCATGATGGCCGTGCAACCCCACCCCAAGATTCCACTCTATCATAATGAGCCAATGCCTGAGACGTTTGCAAGTCAGAGTCACTCCAGAGTCCTCGCTTCCTCTCGTGTCTGAACTCGCATTTTGACATCGACCTTCTCGGGGGCTCTTACAAACAGCAGTGCACAGCGCGTGCACAGCAAGAATCGTCAGTTGGTAGCCTTCCGCAGGAGCCGATAAGAGTGAAACGGTGCCTCGGCCCTAGGCCGTCACTTGAGGATGTCCAACATCCCACCTTCTGGGCCACCATACAAGAGCTCTAAGCACCTGACACAGAAGCAGGCACACGAAACAGCCCCGCCCTCTCGACCCCCTGGGCCTGTCTTGCTTCTCCTTCAGCCACTGAGGCATGTCCTAGCAGCTCTACACTGCACAAAAGCGGGCGAAACACTGCGCTGTGCGGGCGACTTCTCGTCCTTGCCACTTCTACCGGCATGCTCGCGGATGGCAGCGGTCATCTCACGAACTCCGTGCTCGTTGCCCTTGCATTCGCTGTGCCGAGTCATGCCAAGCCAAGCTCAGGCAGTCATGGCGCCTCAAAACCCCACTTCTCCAGGACGGGCTTCTGAACTTCAAAGGCCACATCCTGACCGGCTCGGCTTGAGTGCGGGAGACGCAGTTGCGCAATGGCGCGCTCCGAGCGCCTTGAGTCGCATCAAGAAAACAGACCGCTCGAAGCCGGAATCTCGAGCACATTTTCGCACCCGCTCCTGCAGCCACAGAGAGCAGAGCACACACACACACACACAACGCACGTTCGCACACCCAGCGCCTGGAACCATTTCTGACCTTGATTCACAAGTGCAGCATGAGCCGTGTCTATAGGAAGTTGCACTACACCTTAGGACCCTTAGGACAAAGCCGTATGCGGCGGCGAGCTCATCCATCAAGTCTCCAGCCTCGAGGGCAGCGCTACGGTTCGACGGTGCGTGTCATGCGTGGAAGGCAAGCCCTCCATTCCGTTGGGAACAGTGGTCATCGTGTGAGCGCTCTGCGTGCTACCGGGCTGAACAACCGAACAAAACCAAGGTAAAAGTCAAGGGCCGTGCTTCACGCTTCACTATGCACATGCCAAATCTTCGGGGCGTCACACAAAACGACGCAGAGCTTCCGGGCAACACAGGGCTTGCCGTTCCACGTCCATCAGGGGGGACGGTAGTTTGGCAAGTATCTCTTGAAGCGGCTTTTCCTGTACAGCGTACAGTCCAAGGATCTTAACTATCGTTTAGGAGTCGGCTGTTTCCAAGCCTTTTCGTCAACCTATCAGCCAGCACATACTGGCCAGGGATCCAGTTACGAAGCTTCGCGCTGTTGCACATCACTGCATCATCCCTGCGACGTCTATTTGCACCCCTCGACACAAACCAGCCGCCCCGCTTCGTCTGTGAAACAGATCATTTAGCGCTCTGGCGTCCGTCATCAAGATGCTTGGATCGTTGTCTTTCTGCTTCATGATGGCGATACTCGGATCATCAGAGAACCGGGTGCCATCTGCAGTCGAAATATTGGGCACGCAGATCTCGCACCACATGGCTCCCAGCCATTCTAGTTGCTATTACGACCTGGAGCTGGAGCAAATGCGCCAGCTGTACGTGGGTTGTGGAGATGGTGCCAACTTTGAGCCCCCTGAGGATGAACGAGTGGATCTCGGTGTTGGTGTACCAAGCTCCGGACTACGTGACACCTCAAAAGAAGAAGAAGAAGCAAGGAAATCACGAGTCAGACGCACGGATCTATGGGTGTGGCGGTGAGCTCAAGCCAACGAGCGCCATCCACGTTCGGGCTTCCCACCAGCCCAGCGAGTTCTTGGGAAGCGGCCACGTTTTTTGTGACGTGCTCCGATCCAGGCAGCTACGAGCTGTCAGTCGACGACCATGGCCCAAGCGTGGCAGCAAGCTGAACACATCAGGGTGTTCTGCGAGTGGGTCACAAACGTCAAGATTGAATGGGGCGACCGTGCCAAGTTCTCCGTGGTTGCCAACAGCCGGGACCTCCAGCTTTTCAAAAACGTGACGGACCGGGATGAGATCGCCTGGATTCTTCCAGATCGTCCGTGCCGGGTGATGCTCAGCCGGTTGATCTCGACAAAGAAGATGCAGGAGGTGCACCAGTCATGGAAAGATGGATCCTTTTGGGTCAAAAAGATCCGGATGCCTTGAAACTGGACCGGTGCTCGTCGACCGCGTCGACGACAACCGTGTACTTCACCTTCCAGATCATCGCGCGCTTGCGCTACAAACTGGTCATCATGGATGTGTCATCATCGGCTGTTGGCCAATCAGATCCGGAAGAACTTCGGAAAAACGAGCGGATGGGCCACTCTATGCAACAATGCCACCGAGTGGCATACTCGACAAGGAGCCCTACTACCCCATCCGTGCGCGCACCGCTGTTTATGGTCTTTGCAATGCTCCGGCAAGTTGGCAGAAGACTGTCCCGAAGGCTTTCTTGAGCCTTGGATAATTCGAAAGCACTTTTGACCCGTGCTTGTACTACCTGACGTTCCTGCCGGAGGAAATGACCAATCCTTCAAGCCGTGGATGCGCTGGGGTTGCCTTACTGGATGTTGACGACTTCATACAAGGCGGGGATCAATGCCATCAACTCAAAACGGAAGAACAATACGGAAGAACTTCGTTTTCGTTTCAAATTTGGCAAATGGCGCGACATGTACGAGGGCTTCGGGGGATATCTGGGCCGGACGGTCCGACAACTTTCCAACGTCGAGGTGCAAGTTGACATGTGTCGGTACCTGCTGAGCGAAAAGGGGGTGAGCTTGCTTCGGGGCGTTGGTGTTTCCTTGCTGTTGGTGGGACGAGAAGCACGACCAGACATGGGTGCCATGGGTCCCATGTCAATGTCAGCAGCGAAGGACTTCGCATCTTCAACATCAAACAAACGAATAAGGCGGTCAAGGAACTGCATGCCACGAAGGACCTGGCATTGCGCATGTTGCCGATATGCCTGGAAGACGGATTTACGGTGTCATTTGCCGATGCATCCGTGGCCAATGATGGCGAATGCTCTCAGGGTGACTTCGCTATCGCTTTTTCAGACAAGAAAATTCTTGAAGGCGTGGCCGCTGACATCAGCGTCAGCTCTTGGCGACACCACCGAGTACGCAGAGCTGTGACAGCCAGTTTGGGCTCCGAAGCAGTGGCCATGGATGACGCCTTAGCGGCCACGCTGTTCTACCATGGGACGGCGTAGTCCCTGATCATCTTGAGGAAGTAGGGGCCGGGGTCGGGCTGCACCCATGGGCACCATCCCGGCTGCTGCCACCAATTGAGCTTCCGGGCGCTGGAGCTCCATAGCTCGTTTCCCGCAAGCGCAGCAAGCAGCGGAACCACCGCTGCAGGCATTGCGGGAGCTTTAGTATGGCGAGCTCCTGGGAAGATACACCTGCAACTTTGCGACACCACAGCTCACTGGTCGAACCGACAGGTGTCGGGGATGTGGAAGTTTGAGGCGAACTCAGTGACGCCCACAGAGATCTGTCTTGTGGGTCGACCCTACACGTTAATGACAGCACCCATAGCCGACAACAAGTATGCAGGACGTAGGCATGGCGCTTGTCCTGGACCGACCTGCACTGTCAACACCCTTGGCAATGTCCACAAACACCACGAACGGAACCCCTGACTCCTCTGAGTACTGCACGCAAAGTTGATATCGGCTTCTGAAGTACCTATCATGCTGCACCAAAGTATCTTCTCCAATCAAGCCACGCTGCGCAGCTGTATCCACCAGTGCACGTCCTTCTTGCTCAAGTAAAGGTGACTGTCAAGTAGCTGCTGGACTTGGACATTTCTCTCTCTCACTCTCTCTCTCGCAAACGACATGTATTGTCCACACAATCTGCTCCACCTGGTCCTTCCCAACTGCCCATGTGGGCTGAAGAAAGTGGGTGACGAAGTTCCGTTTGGCGATGGAGTCTGTCGTCTCCTCTGCGGGTGCTCCGTGGATCAACGCCCGATTTGCTTGCATTGATGGCGTCTGGTCCTTGCCTGAGGTCTTCCAAACTCACCCGAGCGCAACGATCGAGCGAGCCCTTCCCGCCACACGTACTGGTGGTAGTTGAGAAACCTCGCCCGTTGGTAGCAGCACGGAGTGCTCGTCGGTGGAAAGACCCCAGGAAGTCCTTGCAAGCATTCGGTGGGACTCCCACGGCCTCCTTTCACATGGCCATAGCCGCTTCCCTTGCTCTTGAACTTGCCCTTTCCTTTCAACCTTTCATTAGCCTCGAAAAAAGCAAAACTCATGCACGACTTCCACAGCTTCCGCTTCATCCAGCATGGGAGGAAGAGGATCATTTAAAGCCATGTAAGTCTCGCCCTGCTCGCCCATTTCAAGCAGGTCCTCAAACACATCCTGCTTGTCAAGGAAATATGTCTCTCCGGTCTCCGGATCGTACCGATACTCCGGCCCGTCATCATCATCCTCATCGTTGTAGCCAGAGGGATGTCCTTCGCCCCAGTAGGTGCTGTGGCCGCCCTTTCCCGGATATTCCAAGCTGTCGCTAAACAAAGATCTTCTGGATCGCGCCCTCGACTTTTTAAAAGTCGATGCTTCCGTCCGTAGGCACCCGTATCGTTGCCTCTGAACATCAAATACATCTCCAACAAGTCAAGGCCTTGGCGCTTCAGCTCGCTGAAAACCGCTTTCTTGGAGGCGACGAAGCCGGAGATTGTTTGGTCACTGGTCAGGCCTCCTCTACCCGCCGAAGATAGCCTGCTCATCCATGCTCCGCTTCGCGATCAGCTCCTTTGGAAGCCGTGCTTCGCCCTCAATCAGCCACAACTTCAGCAACCTTGAATACAGCCTGTACTCGGAATCGGGGTTCTCACCATTCCATGTAGGTGCCGGCTCCATCCGGAAGCCATGGTACGTCCTCGCCGAGGAGCCAGCAGCCCCATCAAGGCCTGCCCCCTCAGCAGAGGTTCTAGGCGACCTCGCCCCCAACGGCGATGAATTTTCGGGAGTGGGATCTTGCAGGTGTTCCTGCAGCCGCAGCAGCTGTCTCGGTATCCATGGGACTTTCTGCAATCCGTCCTCTCGGCCCCCTTCCGGAAGTCACTGCCCAACTGAACTCAAAGTCAGTGTCGTTGTACACAAGATCGAGAAAGGATCGCCCGTTCCGCGGATCGTGTAGTCTAAATTCACCCGGGGTTGAGCTCGCGGCCCCCAGGTCCCTTTCACGCCCCAGCCGTTGCCAGAGCTCCGCTAAGCATGAATAAGCGAACAAAGCAGAGGCACACGGCCCGCACTCTACTTTTCTAGCTGCTCAAGGGCTCTGCGGATCCCTGCGGGTCATCCAAGCGATTGCTTCCGGCTTCATTCTGTCTGCACATGCCAAATCTTCGGAGCGTCACACAACACGACACACAAGCACTGGGCAACGTCTTTCACCGTTCCACACAGGCGATGCGAGGCCCGGCCCGTACTGGCAGCTGCTTAAGAGGCGCACCAGTGCGGCAGTCAGCTGGATCTTGCGTTCGAGCGGTCGCGCCTGCGCCTGCGAAGACGCAGCGCAGGGCACCCCTCAGGGCCACTTCCCGCCCCTTGTAAAGCCGCCTCCAAGCTCTTCCTCTGCTCCGTGGAGACCTCAGAAAAGAGAGGCCTGGGCCCCTCGGCCACTTTCCACGTGCGAGCCGGCGAGACTGCTCTGCCTGGCCTGCATCTGCGCGGGTGGCTCCTCCAACTTCTTCGCAGCCTAAAGCCAAGAGAAGGGAAGTAAAAAGTCGTCGGCAGTTGCAGGGCAAGTGACACGAGATCAGGGGAAATTCCCGGCCTCCTCCAACTCGCGATCTCTGTCAATGCTGAAGACTCCCGCCTTGCAAGAAGCACAGGAAGCACAAGCAGCTCCATGTGTTGCCGTTGTGCCAGTGTATGCCCCTGCGATCGAGTACCTCGAAGGCTCGACCCAACATTTCTTGGGTCGATTGTCGATGCTTGACTCGCGCCACCTTGATCCTTGCAGGGACAAGACACTTCATGAGTGATTTCTTCCGGCAAGCCGGGGGCTCCTCTTTCTCTCTGCCTCGCAATCTCGCAGGATGCGCCGTCTGTCGGGGCCTTGATGGGAATCCAAAACAAGCCAGGCAACATGTCGTGCCGAGGCCGCTGGATTATGTCGGTTCAAGAATATGAGACTGAGAAGTGCCTGCAAGGGGAAGCTGCAAGCTACTGGTAGGTGAGGCTCATCGCTCAGTCCGACACACCACTGGGCCACATCCTCTAGCTTTGCCAGCGACTCCTCGGCCTGAACATGCTGCCGATGTTCGCTCATGCGCAGCAGTAACACCAAAGCACGGCCGATCGGACCTCCTTGAATCTGCCAAGGCCCTTCTCCGCTTGCACTTTCCTGCCACATGCTTGAGCGGCTTGACGACGCCTTGGGCAGATCTCCGGGCAGAGCCTGTACCACGCTTTGTGGTCCTCCGTGTCGATGCTTAGCGCCGCGTCAGAGGCCTCCTGCAAGCTGTGCGCATTCACGACTGCGGAAGCTGGCACGTGCAGGCAGGTTGACACCACAAGTTTTTTCCCAGGAGGCTTTCAGAGGAATGGAGAGTTATCGAAAGCTTGCATGGCATGACAAGAACATTGTTGCACAGCAGTTCCACTGGCCAGCCAGCAACAAAGTCAAAAACCAATATTCATGTGTGCGTACTGGTCATTTGTCATTCAAGTCTTGCATGTCTTCACACGGCCACACCCCCCGCTCAATGCCCTCGGAAGAGCCTTCAGTGGAGTGGCGTTTTCTTGGTAGCACCGTCTGCGATGGGTCAAAGCACCTAGCACCTAGAATCTAGCTCTGCTTTCGATGCGAAAGCGTCGCAGGTCGAAACCGAGGCACTGTGCGAATCGTTCCATGTGGATTTACAGAAGCCTGCAGGTGCAGATCGCAAAGGGAAAAACACAGGTCCAGCGCGGTCTGAAAGAGCTCCAGCTTTAAAGCTGCTTGCGCTTTGTTCCTCGGTACAAGGAAAAACTTCCTCACTTTGAGCCGTTCTTTAGATGCGGTCGAGTCCACTTGAGGCAAGCCAAATGGTAGTCTTTCAACCACTTCTCCTCGTTCTTTAGATGTTTGGCCACCTGGGACAGGGACAACACGGACTGCAGGGACCGAGACTGGCACTCGCCTTCCACTTCTTCATGGCATCATCGGCTTGTGAGTAGATATACAAGGCCTGGAAACACTTCTCTCACCCTTTGTCGCAGCACGTCAGACAAGGCTTTGAAATGCTTCATGGTGGCCTCCTCGTAGAGGCCCTCCTGGAACTTGAGGTTGCCTTCGCGCTTGCACTCCTCGCGGCGACAGATATTTCAAGCCTAAGTTCACCAGACATCGTGCTGGCAGACACCTGCGCGTACTCCAGCACATGCTTCAAGGTGTGAATGTCAATGCTTTGCGGAAGAACTTCCTTCTTCTTCTCCTCCTCAGGTGGAGTCTGTATTCTTATCATGCACCCCTCAGGCATGCTGACCTCAGAAGCGGACAGCTTCTGACATCGCCTTGCACTGAGCATGCCTCGGAGAATGGATCGGGAATGATGGTAGATGCAAAATCCGAGTGATCCTTTGATCAGGAGCTGCTGAGTCGAGCACCACTCCTTTTCCATGTCCGCCATTCGCTCCTCGCACATGTCGTTTGCTTCCTGGAAATCTCCTCTGCAGACCGTCGCCTCTCCCCCAGCTTGGAAGTTTTCCCGCATCTTGCGAAGCTGATCTGCCGTCCTTAGACGCTTCAGCGCCATCTTCACATGTCAGCTCGCAAAGCATCGCTGTAGGGGGCCGACGCACCATCCCGCAACTTTTCCTTGAAGTCTTTCTGCTTCTTCGAGCACTCATCATAAATCATCCACCTCAACGAGCGCAAATGGGCAGCGATGCTGTCGAATGTGAACATGAGGCGGCCGCAAGTAATCCTCCACAAACCTGATGTGGAACATCGGCGCCACGAGCTTCTTCAGGTCAGCAGGTGCTTCCTCCAATGGAGAACCAATCCCCCGGGACCAGAATTGCACCGATGGGCTTTTCCTCCAAAGCATCAGCGAGCAAACGACGGTGCTCTGCTCGTTCCTGACTCATGAAAAAATAAGGCAACAGCGTAAAAAGCAAGCACTCCATCCTCTACGGCTCTCCGCTCTTCCAGCCATACACGCTTCTTCTCCTGATGTAGGGTTGGGTGCTCAGCCGAAGATGACCTCTAAGACTCGATGCAAAGGGCTGCGCCTGCAGACGCCTTTCTGCTTGGTATGCCGCTTTGGCATCTGGTCTTCGCATGAACTCATTCCAGAAAGCCTTCAGGATGCACAGGCTGCACAGACCCCTTCCATCCCGTGTCACAGGAAATCCTCCGAAGGGGTACGACGGATGACGCTCTACGAAGATACACAAAGCACGGAAAGAAGGGCATGAGGATCTCGATCCTATCTCGCACATGCACTGCTTTCGCACTGCATCTCCAGTTTGATTTGATCAACCAACCGTATTATGAGGCCATCCTTCTTTGCCTCAACTATGTTTCTGGACGGCCTGGCTGTTGATGTCACCGTTCGCCATCTGCGACATGGTCCCATTGGCTCGCAAAAGCCGCGATGTGCTTTGCCGACTCAGCTAATTTGGCTATCCGCGTTGCAATGCGCAGCTCGCAAGAAAGTTCAAGGAACCGTAAAGTCATAAGGAACTGGTGCACGCCGTTGGTCTCCTATGCCTAACATTCGTGTCATGGCACATGGCTTGCTCTTTGGGGCCACATAGTCAACCTGAAGCTAAGTCACGCAACGTGCAGAAACATACATTCGCTGCTGGCTGTAGTTAATTGGGGCCGTCAGCTCAAAGCTTGCCACATTCCATATTGGCACGCCAGCGGACAAGCGCTTCACAGAAACTCTGCCAGGTCTGCCGCTGAGACCCTGGGAGTCCGTCTGCGAGAAATCTGCCTACTTCGCATCGCAAAAGGATCATCGCAGCAGCTTAGCAATCCCGCCGCCAGCGGCATTTGAGCCTGAGCTTTCTGCGACGTCGAGGTGGATACAAACACTCCCCACAAAGTCAAGGCCTTCATAGGATACGGATGTATGGCAGCCGGTGGCATGGGCGACCTAGGACAAGCACGCGTAAGAAACAAATGGCTAGCACACAATTCTTGTCTGAGAGCTCTACACAGACGGTGGCACGGACGACACCGGAACGCCATAAACATACTTCTCCAAATTTGCCTCTTCACAACACAGAGAGAGAGAGAGAGACAGA